GCTTTTGTGTTACGTAATTCAATACCGTAACTAATACTATGAGTTTGCTGGGTGATTTCTAGTTTGTTACACAGGTTTTAGACACACTTCAAAGAGAAACAAGTAATAAAATTAAATAAAAACAGATGTTGACTGTTACGGGCCTGAGGCTATTTAGGATAAATACTGTCTTCAGTACTCGTACAAATGTGATTGTGGGTTTTAAGACAAGTAAGGTAATACATGAGGTGGGTCTACTAGATCTAAGTGGAAAAGAATGTTGAATAAGAGAAAGTGGCCACTGAAAAGTACCTGTCTTCAGTACTCATACAAATGTGATTGTGGGTTTTAAGACAAGTAAGGTAATACATGAGGTGGGTCTACTAGATCTAAGTGGAAAAGAATGTTGAATAAGAGAAAGTGGCCACTGAAAAGTACCTGTCTTCAGTACTCATTACCCTTCAACTCCATAGTGAAGACACATATGGTAGGAAAGAGTAAAGTGCACACACACACACAAAAGTACATACTCTGAGAAGCAGCTTCAAATTAAAGAAGTATTGAATAGAAATAGATAAAAATCCATCAGAAAATTTGGGGAAGTTGTAAGGGTTTTATACCCTGCAATGTAGTGAGAAAGAAAGAAAAATGTTTAATTCCACAAAGAAGTAAGCCAAAGGTTCTAAAGTGTAAATCATACAATATTATTCAAAATAAAAAACTATTTATTAAAAAAAGCTACATATTGGTCATTGGCCACCAATTTGAGATTAATGGCATGTAGCATCATAGCCATGCACATGTAAGAACAGTGGACTTTCATGCACATTAAAGCATCACATTTGTTGACTTTACAATTCTGTATGAATACTTCTCCAGTATAAACTATTTTTTCTATAATTGTGAAATTTATATGATCTTTTAGGCAGATGGTAAAATAAATACTGAAAGGAGAAAAGTTTTGTTTTTTAAGCCATTGAATTCTGTGTGGTTCATTGCCTTCTGGCATAGAAATCTTAGCTTTGGTGTCAAGATAAACAACAAACATGTACAGTTTTTTTGCTTTTCATTCATAAAAAATGTGGTACTTTGTGAATTTAGACGTATAGCAGCAGTTGACACAAAATGTTGTTGTTTGTGTTACTCAAGTTAATAAGATATCCAACAATATACCTATTTTTAATAACTCTCTTTAGAAGAAACAATAATGTCAAAGAAATTTGACATTAATTTAAAAATAACTGTCAATGAAATGACTATTTTGGGATGATTATTATGTAATTTTTGCATAAATAGAAAATCAGTGACAGGAAGTGCAGCAAACTAGTTTTAGTGTCATGTAAGTAAATGTACACTCCTTTTTTTTAGTCATGATATTTATTCATTTATGAAGATTGTTATTGCATTATTAACTTAGTATAAGAATACAGGACTTAATCTACATCTCCTAAGGTGCCAAAAATATTAAGAGCAAGATACCCAACTGGTAAGTAAGTGCATTCTAATCATTATACGTTTTGTCTTGTGAAGTTTTTTATGACATTACATCCTAATAGTCAGTCCTTTGTATAAAATTAACTGAAAGTTGAAGTTATTTTTCAGTTTTGATTTATATAGTTAGCTTGCTTAGATTATTACATATATGTTCAAACTAGTGACACTTTTTTCTTCTCTGTAGAATACTGTTGAAAATCCTCAAGATAACAGTGATCAGCAGAAGCTATAGTGTAAACACTACCACTGAAGAGTGTATGTTAGACCGAGATTTATCATACTGTTGTAAATGTTATTTTTGTTAGACAGAAAGTGTAATTTATACAATCTTTATGAAAAAAAATATATGATTTTAATTGAAGTAAAATTTACACACATTTAAAGTATCTTTCTATTTTTTAAAGATAATTTAACCTTCAGAGTGTAATAAAAATTGTACATACTTTTTAAGGCAATGCATATTAGGAAGTACATAATTTATTTCTATCAAAAAATACATACCCAAGAAATATCAATTAAAAAACTTCATCTCAAACTGTGTTGAACTCATCAACAAACTACATTCATATTTCAACCTTAAAGTATATCTACCAGTTTCTTTCATTACAACAGATATAAAAATATCAAGTTTCTATTATAGCAGAAGTATTTTTTGCAGGAAATGCTCCAATCATATCTCAGCAAGGTTTTAACATTAATGGGAAACATTTATATAATACTTTTTTTTTATTACATAATGTAAAAATAAACTTGTCACCGAGACTTGGCCTATTGTAGAGTTCACAGTTTTTAAGGCAAGCTACATTATTGTGACCAGAACAGATACAAAAGCTTTTCTAAAACAGGTATGGTTATTAAAAAATTTTAATTATAGTTGTTAGGATGTATTTCTTAAGTTGCATATAGATACTTAACAGAAGAATTAAAGCTAATCACTTAGACACTAATGAAAATGCTTGAATTTCTTACAAATAACATGCCTTTCAAACAAGTTGATAAGCTTATAAGAACTCTCACTTGATTAAAAGAACATTTCAGATATTCCTTATATTTACATGAAAACTATTTTAGTAAATTATCTGTACATCTTGGATACTAAACAACCACAATTTGATGACTTGGTAATTCGTTATTTTGAGAACAAAGTGACTGTGAACTGTTGCCTGCAATAAATATTTTGATTTTGTAGTTGATAAGAAAATTAAGTTTGATACAGGTTAGTATTACTACTTTTCTGGTAAAAAGATAACTTAAGAAACACAAGGACAGTATGATTATAAAGAAAAACCCTATATTTGAAATTACTGTACCTTACAAACACTTGTTCAAGAGGAACAAAGTTTCAATATAGGCACATTAAAAACTTTGAACACAGTACAGTGTATTTCAGAACTATATTATTAGAGGAAAGTCTAAGAATCACTTAATACTTTCTGAAACAGATAATGCTTGCAGTAACTTTACTGAAGGTTAGGCTACATATGCTAATTAGGAACAGGGCTTATGTGGATACTTTGTATGGATTCAGAATGTTATCAGTAATCAAAGACCAGGATGTATTTGATTTTGAAGTCAATAAATATGTGTACTTCTATTTGTGCATTCAGGAAATATCACTCTACAATACTAAGGTACGTAAAGCACACTGATCAGTTAAGACTGTTGTTGGATGGTATCAGGACAATATCCCCCCACGAACGGAACATTTAAAACTAAGATTGACATGTTTACTCAACTGTATACAGTACATGCTTTTGTCATGGATGCACCATTCCTTGCTATTTATTCTCTTCTGCCAGATAAAACTGAAGCAACTTATACCACTCTGTTTCAACAACTGATCAGTGGTAATTTGAGACTGGCAAATACAATGGCTGATTATGAAAAATTCATGATTCACAGCTGGAAACATCTTTTTCCCTGAAGCTGAAATAAAAAGGATGCTTTTTTTTCATTTAAACCAAAATACTTATAGGAAGATACAGAGCTACATGGCCTCAAGTAGCAATACCAAGATGACGTAGACGTTTCGCTTAAAATGAGGATGATCTCAGCACTTGCTTATGTTCCACCAGACAACATCACTTCTGCCTTTGAAGAGTTGTCTGAAATATTACCACCAGAATCGCATCCAATCAATGATTATTTTGAAGACACCTACATCAGCACGTTAAGGGTATCATCAACCAACATTTGAAATAAATCTTTGGAATATGTGTGAACGAGCAACAGATGAGCTGCCAAAAACAAACAATTCAGTTGACGGATGGCATCGAAGCTTTCAATTGAATGTTGAATATTTGGAATTTCATCACATTCTTTCAGTGTGAACAAGCTTTACAACAATTCTACAGCACACAGGCTATAGCTGGTTGTAGTCCACAGCCAAAAAGAAAGAAAGAAGTACAAAGATGTAACAGTCTGACTACTTACAGTGATTTGAAATGAGACACTGCAACATTCTGAACTATTTGAATGGAATTGCTCACACCTTAGGTTTTTAGGTGTACTAACCTTAACTGTGGTCTAGAGTTCAGTAGGTGCATTAGCATCTTTTTACGTATAATTATTGGCTTTTCTAGTTTTAATAAAGCTGTTTTTTAATTCAATTTGAATTGCATTTTATTGTCAGAGATTTTGTCTTCAGGGACATTGTCCTAGACTCTCATTCGATAGCACATGCATGATTATACTTGCATCCCACTTCCATGATTTGCAAAAGCTATTTAAAAAATTCCAAGACTAAACTGTCATTTTCATGGACCTAACATACTCATTTTAATGGAAAGTGAACCAAAATTAAATATTAACCTGATGTTTATTATATTTTATAAAACTGCAGAAACAGCTGTAGACAATGTTCTAGTGATAACACTAACACCTGAGCTTCCCAGTTAATGCTTATTCAACAAAAAAAAGGAAAAAATACTATAACAGGCCATTAAAATAAATTATCATGCATTACTAAACAAAGCATATGGGAATTCTTTCATTTATGGACCCCTAAATGTATTCCAGCTTTTACCAATTTAAGTTCAATAACAAGTGATAAGGCCTTGCATCTGTCTCCCAAATAACGTACTTTGGCTGGAGCTAAAACTCCTTTAGCATGTACCAAAACGTGAATAATTTTTATTGAACATCACCTTGTGTTATCAATGAAAACACTAATGAATTCTCTGTCACAAACATCTAAGTATATTTCAACTTAGGTTTAATAATGAGTGATAAAGCCTTGCATATTTCTCTCAAACACTGTGCTGGAGCTAAAAATTCCTCTAGTATGTAATCAAAACCAAGTAATATGTATGGAACATATTATTTCAACTTGGCAATAGGACAAGTTAACTCGTATCTGATCAACTGCTTAACATATATCATATCACCATGCTAACCAAGCAAAGTTTCACACTCAATGTTACGACTGAGACGACTTATTTATATTGTTGCGCACACTAACAGTGTTGTACATATCCTGTTTTCCACAGTATTGCACCCCATTATTTTGTTTTCTCTGTGTTTAATGCTATATTTCCAACTGACAAACTGGAAACCTTATGGGTCAGTAAAACCTTTATATTTCAACTTGGTGTTCAACCTGGATCTTTTTTTGTACAATAACACATACGATGTTTAAATATTAAAATTTAAAACAATAATTGTTGTGAATAATGTTTTGTTGTCAAGTGTATCAGTCACTAGTAATCAACATAACTTGAAATTGTTTCACAGTTTTACTTGTCACTACAAGTTATGTTGATGACAAGTAAAACTGTGAAACAATTTTAAAATTTTTTTATTCATTTGAGATTTGAAAGAAAAAACTAATAAAACAAGGAGACAAAATAATATTAATAACACACCACAACACTGTATTTACAATCCTGACAGTCCCTTAAAAACAGAACATTTTCCCTTAATTATTCAGTAATGGGGACTAAAATATCTCTGCCTAGATCAATAATTGTATAAATAACCATGTCTTAATGGGTATAACCTGATGGACTGTCATTAGTAATAATTATACAAGTACTTCATGAACAGCAGTTATGTTTGTGTCACTCGTTTTATTATATTGTTGACATTTGGGCTGTTGTTTTTTTTCCTCTCTCTTTTATTAATGAATATTAGATAATTGATGAATAACTTAGGCTAGAAACATGAGTTACTTTTCTAGAGTTTATGCTGAAGATAGAATTAGGAAAAGTCTTAAACATTATGTTCTTTATCCAATCAACAGTTTTATGATTTTAGATTTCCAATAAATAAATCTTTGCTTATTTTACACTAACAATATCATTCCAATTCTAGTCCCATAACGTCTGTTTTCTTGCAGTCTTGTTAAGTCAATGTATTTCTGTTTAACAAAACTAAATAAATACTAATATAGCTTGACGTCAACAACAATTGGGATGTAGGAATGATGGTATTATTATCAAGAACCTCTTCATAAAAACCATTAATTTTCCAGCATTAAATTGTTTTTATAAAATTCCACGAGTTTCAAGGATTTCTGATATGATACACGCCTCCTATTACACAACACCTTTTCTCGATCTTCCACTGCCCTCTAACGCATTTATGCATTACACTTTATACCCCATAATTTTGAGCTGCTCATTTAACATGGATAGAGCATGAAACACTCTCCTAGAGTAGCTGGATCCATCTGTGCTAATTTACATGAGCCTCACTTTCAAAGTTGATACAATACAATTCAGATGTTTCTCACTTGCTTTCAGTTTTTAATAAGTTTGCTTTGAAAATTCTTGCATTCTGGTGTATTATTGACTTTACCATTTTCACACACATAATTGCAAATTAAAGAGTTCACAATATACCATGATTACCATCACAGCTCCTGAAGTTACAGGGGACTGTTACCCAGGCCTTGCAATCGATGTCGTCTGCCAAGGAGGTGCATACCTTAGTTCATCAAGAGTTAGCTTCTTACCTGGGGCCTTCTCCTCCACAATGGCCAGCACCTCTTCTGGCTGATAAGAATTTTCAGGACAAGGATGATTTAGACAACCTTTTTCCTGTTCCTTCTTTCCCATACTGCCACACCCTACACATTTGGAGGAGGTTCGACCTTCTACTCTTTTCCTCCAATTAATTACCCAGATTTGACACATTTTGAATGTTTCTTCTGTTTCTTATGATGCCTCTCCTTGCCTTTTGTATGAGATCCCTAACTCGAATAATTTAGTGTTTCCCCCTTCACCTGACACAGCAGTTTTATCACAGTTAAGAGGTTAGTATGCCTCGAGTTTCTGGCCAACATGCTTTAGCATTTCATTGCTCTTCAAATCGTTATTTGGATTCCCAACAGTTATTTCTGCTGTTACCCATCTGGGGTTCTAATCCTGAGGCTTCTGTATCCTTTTCATAGTCACAATATTTGAGGATTTGTGTTTCCTCTCCCCTTTGCACTTTTTTCCAAGGCCTTTCAATGTTCTCCCAATGAGTTTTTTGGAGTAACTTTGATCCCTTCTGTGATTGATTTTGATAAGGCTCTTTTCATTGGCCCTTTCCCTACATTCCCTTGTTAAATATTTATCTTCCTCCTCCACAGCTCCTGATCCTTTTCATGTCCTCTCACTTCCACACCTCTTCCATTACCCGCATCTTGATGTTCTCGTCCTTATCCTTGTTTTTTCCATGTCCAATTAGAACATCTAGAGTGGTATAGATGACTACATAGTGGGATCAAGTCCTGTGAGAGCCAGGCTTCACTGCTGTATCAACATTAGAAGACACCATCCTCTAGGTAACTTGTGTTTTAAGATAATTGAGGATGCAGTTGAAGACCTGCAATGTGACCACAAAGAAGCAGCTACTTGGATCCCAGTCCAGTTACAATGCCATCATTGTTCATGCTAAAGATACAGATGTGAGGTTGCTGTATTTAGCTAATTTTACAGATTGGTGTTCCCAAAATCAAGCACCCAAAATCATATTAAGTAAATTGATATTGCTGTGGTTCATTGCTTTATTGGAGGAGTTGCAGCAACTGCCTTTCCTGGTTTGTATGCAGTTACTAGATGTCATACAGTGAGTACTTTTGCAGGCAAAGGTAAGCTAGCAACTTTAAAACTGGTGAAGGGATCAACAAAATTTCAGCAATGTTTCAAGTCCTTAGGATGGCCATTGTGAGTTAAAAGTGAAAGAGCTAAGACAAGTGGATAAATCTGTATGTGAGCCATATGGTTCTAAAATTGGCACATGTGATATAAGTAAATTCAGATATGAGCATTTTTGCTCTAAACAGAGGAAATATGAAAAATTTCATCTTCCACATTGTCAAGACACCCCAAGAAAACATGTCCAAAGAGCTTACTACTAAGCTGCTATATGGAAATGCTGTTTGCAGGTTCCAAGTCCTGTTGGTCATGGATGGAGAATGGACAACTCAGTCTTGGATGGATGAAGCACCTGTTCCTGAAGCTGTGGTCAAGCTTATGTCTTGTAAATGTTCATGCACAATGCCAAACTGTACATGTTTGTCCAATAATATGAAATGTACCAACATGTACTAGCTCAAAACATGTAACAATCAAAAATATATGAATCACCAAGAGGTAGAAGAAATATATGAAACAGATTATTTAGATGAGGATAAAGATGCAGATGAATATTGAAATAAAGCTAACTATAAAAACTGGGATACAGTGTGTTGCACTTACTGTTCTTGAGGGAGACATGAATGGTTTGATTTTACAGCAAAATTAATAAGTTTATTGTATTAAAAATAACATTATGAGAAAAACATGGTTTAATAAGCATTTGCATCATTAGAAAGCTTTCAGATTTATTCTAAAAAAAATGGCATGGCTTTAGGAACAATATATAAACACCCAGTAATCGTTAGAAGAAATATAATTTGTTATTTAAACAAAATTTTGGACAAATTGTGAGATAAGATATGCAACATATTGGACATAAATAGACTAAAATATTAGATATATGCAACATTAAAACATGATTGACATGTATGTGGTCTAACATGGGCCTGTTTTGTATGTGTTTATTTACATAGAAAGCATGAGAGTACGAAATGATAAATTATAAAAAGACATGATTTAATTGATTTTACATAACCCTTTTAACATCCATTAACGTTATTTGTTTACCTGGATATGTTAGTGTTACTCATTTATTTGTGTACCTGGATATGTTAGTGTTACTCATTTATTTGTGTACCTGGATATGTTAGTGTTACTCATTTATTTGTGTACCTGGATATGTTAGTGTTACTCATAATTAAGAGTTTTTCAGAATCAGGAAAGGAACACAGTGGTTGAGCTAAATGAGGTATAATATGTTCAATTAATTATTATTATTATGTAATAAATTAGTTAAAATTTGGAAAGTTTTCTGTTATTTTGCTGTATTTAGTACTTTAAAATATACCTGCAGTCCCTTCTGTGTCAAACAGTCCTACATATTTCACTTTATGAGCAGAACTTTCACAGCTAAAAATAACCAATTTTTAGGCTACATATCTGAGATTGTTACCACAGTGCATTGGGTTGTTGAGATAATAAGCCTTCCAAAAATGTATATTTTGCCAGAATTTTTATACCAAATCCATGAAATTTGCCTTACTACAGAAAAAAGTATTTGGTAGCAAGAAACTAGAAGCTGTTACCTGTTAAACCGTTTAATTATCACAATAAATGCTTGAAAGGAAAAATAAGTTTTAAAAAATCTGCATATATTGATCATTTTATACTACCATAGAAACACACTGATTTTTGGCACTAATTAGTTTTGTCTCGTCTCAACTTTAACTTTTTTATTTTTTTTGCTGTTGAATTTTTTAAAATATTGTTTTCATAAATTCTTCCAAGATTAGGCCAGTACAGAATAAATTAAAAGTATTAACAATTTTAAAATGTTGCCTATAAATATGCTTTAGATTTTTTTGCTAAATTTCAGTTTAAAAAAAGGTTTTGGATTTTCTAATAGATTTGAAAATTTTTAAAAACATGACCTAAACTTTTCACTAAACTTAGGAAACACAATGCTAGAAACTTTAATTATGTTTCTAATCATTCTATACAAGCATGGTGTAAAACAAGATAAGCACTCATTGCTACATGCACTTGCAATGTACAAGGTAATTTTGACAAGCAAATGTTCAAAGGTAACTAACACTTTTAAATTGTTGATTTTATTAAAGTCAAACTTAGCAAACCTACTGATCAGCTAACAAAACTATATGAATTGGAGCACTACAATGTGGCTAAAAGAACATTTTTACTGTCATTAAACATAAAACAACTAAAAAGAGTTACTACTTTCATCATCTTTTTCTCAAATTTTTACGATAATCACCAGACTTTGCTAAACTTTTGATTAAAACCTCAATTACATACAATAAATATTTAGTATGCTAGAAAAAATTTTACAACTCAATATTTTTATTAAAAAACATAACATATACAATATGTAAGAATAGTTGACAAGGATTTGTGGATTTCTGGTTTAGTAATTCACATGGTTTAAGGGTTTTATTCTTTGAACTAATTACCAATGCATTTACATATTGTGGAAAATGCCAACAAATCTTGACCACTATTGTAAATCAGAAAAACACTGGTTTTAACTGCAGTGCTAATGATTTAAAACTATAAATGTACATCCTCAATTTTAGTTTGATTCAAACACAAACCATTCTTCATAAAATCAATTTTCTCTGCATGACTCAACAAAGTTTAGGGAAATTTCAAATCTTATTTTCTTTCAGACGTAAATACGTAATTTTCCACTTAAGTTAATCTCTTTTTATACTTTTTCTGTGAAAAATATCAATTGTTGTTTCGTAACAAGGCCGTAAGCTCATGTCACAAAACCCAATACTGAATTTGTTTTCTGCTGCTTTGAAAAAATCAAGTCCTCTCCCTATCTTGATCACCCAGAAATTGTCAAGCCTGTGAATAAAAAAAAATCTGTAACAGGATTATGAATATGGTTATGTAATGACAACAAATGATTTATGTTATGATTCAAAATTGGGTTAGCATGTTTTAGTTTAGTTTAGCATTCCAATTAATTACAAAGCATTTCATCATATTACTACAGTCTAGTTTACTTCATCCACAGAACCAAAAGTAAATGTCAACACAAACCATTTGCAGAGAATCAATTTTCTCTACGTGACATTTGGCAATGTCTATTCACTGTTCATACACTTGACTTTTACTTTTATCTTGTTGACACAACTTCCATCACATTTAATCCTTTTGTTTTTGTAATGATATATAAACCTTGTATTGCTTATTCAGTGATCATACCTGAAGAAGACAGACCAATGTTCTGTCAAAACATGTAGTATGTTCCAATTTTCTCTACGTGACATTTGGCAATGTCTATTCACTGTTCATACACTTGACTTTTACTTTTATCTTGTTGACACAACTTCCATCACATTTAATCCTTTTGTTTTTGTAATGATATATAAACCTTGTATTGCTTATTCAGTGATCATACCTGAAGAAGACAGACCAATGTTCTGTCAAAACATGTAGTATGTTCCAATTTTCTCTACATGACATTTGGCAATGTCTAT